AATAAGTTTTTATAAAGCAGTACATCCTAATGTCTAGGAACATACCCTTTATAATTAGACAAATGTGGATTTGAATCCCAGTTCTATCACTTAAGGACTAGGTGACTTTGAGCTAGATAATTAATCTGAGTGTCTGTTTTTTTCTCAACTCATAAGGATGTTGGAATGTTTATAGTAGATGATATAAGTAAAGAGTCTAGTATAGTATCTGTCAAATAGCAGACACTCATTAGTTAGAACCCACTGAGTGTCTGCTATTATCATTTTCATTACTGGAATTTTAAATATTTAAGATGCCTTATATTTGCACATTACATTTTTGTGGCTAAAAACCCTTTTCTTGTTTTTCAGAAAGCACATCTGAGCTGCTTTTAATATCATCTCTTGAGGATACAGATGAAACAGGAAACATTCAAAGTAGATGCTTCAGGAAAAGACATAAAAGTGACAACGAACCTAACTTGCAGCATCAAGTGGTCTGGGGAAATAGAAACCGTAATCTTAGTGGAGGGGTACTGATGGGATTTATGCTCAACAGAATTAACCAGGAAACAACTCCTGGAGATATAGTTGAAAAATTAGGAGCCGATGCAAAAATTCTTTCGAATGTTATCTCAAAAAGCACAAGACCAAATAGTCTTGATATTGGAAAACCACCTTTAAGATCAAAAAGAGACAGTCTAGAAAAGGAATCCAGTGATGACGATACACCTTTTGATGGTTCTAACTGTTTGGCAGATAAAGTGGATTCTCCTGTTATATTTGACTTAGAGGACTTAGACAATGAAGCAGATGGATCAAAAGAAGGATATATTGCTACACAAAATCCCAAGAGGATTCAACGTATAAACAGCAGCTTTTCAGTAAAACCTTTTGAAAAAACTGATGTTGTAACAGGATTTGATCCTCTCTCTCTTTTGGTTGCTGAGACTGAACAGCAGCAAAAAGAAGAAGAGGAGGAGGATGAAGAAGAGAGTAAAAGCATTTCAACACCATCTGCTAGGCGTGATTTAGCTGAAGAAATTGTGATGTATATGAATAACATGAGCAGTCCTTTGACAAGTCGTACACCAAGCATTGATTTACAACGAGCTTGTGATGATAAATTGACCAATAAGAAAAGTCCAGTACTGGTCAAGGCATGTAGAAGATCTAGCCTGCCTCCTAATTCTCCTAAGCCAGTGAGACTTATCAAATCTAAAAGTTATACAAAAAGTGAGGAGAAACCAAGGGATAGACTTTGGTCTTCTCCAGCCTTCTCAACCACTTGCCCATTTAGGGAAGAATCTCAAGATACATTAACCCACCCATCACCTTCATTTAACTTAGATACACTGTTAGTACCTAAACTAGATGTTCTAAGGAACAGTATGTTCACTGCTGGAAAAGGAGTTGCAGAGAGAGCAAGCAAATGGTATTCAAGATTCACCATGTATACCACATCATCTAAGGTAAGTTTTCTTAGTATTTGCTATTTTTACTTTCATAACCCCCCACTACTACCAGAAGCCTCTTAACTTGTTTTAACCATTCTCTTAAACACAGCTTTATAAAAAGGATTTATGGGATGCATAAAGTTTGTAAGTATCAGAATTTGAACTGGAATAATAACTTCAAAAGAAAAGAAAATTCACTAAGGTTATGTTTATAGTTCAGTTTTGAAAGACAGTGATTTGTAGCTAGGTAAGAATTTGTGTTATGTGAAAGTATACTAGATTTCAGTATTTCCTTCAAAACGTGGATTTTTTTTTTTCCAGACAGAGTATTCAGTGTGCCTTCAAAAATTACCAGCCGGGCATATGATTTCTCCTTCTGCTTGGGGTGGAATAGCTTATTATAGACCTACATACTTCCCAAGAGCAAAACACTAGATGAAATATGTGAAGTATTTGTTTAAAGTCACCAGAGAACTGCTAAAGCAACTAGAAAGCAGAGGCAGGATTCTAGAGAGAGGAGAATTGCAGAGGTGAACTGAAGTTCTATAGCCACTTTCTACCTCAAAGGATTTGTTAACTACGAGCATGGATCACTAGGTTGCAAATCCAGGCA